CACATTTGCTTGGTTGCTGACTGAAAGTTGGTGGTTTGAACCCATCTAGGGGCTTCACGGAAGGAAAATCTTGATTACAGCCAAGAAAACCATATGAGGCAGTTTTACTCTGTCACATGGGGTCACTGTGAGTCAGAATTGATTCAACAGCATCTAATAACAACAATATAGGTGGGTTTTTGTGTTAGTGTATTTAAACCACCTGATTTCCATTTTTGATGGTGCTCTGGTGGTACTGTGGTTAAAGCATTGGGCTGCTAACCAAAAGGTTGGTGGTTTGAACCCATTAGCCACCCTGCAGAAGAAAGATGAGGCAGTCTGCTTCCATAAAGATTTACAGCCTTGGGAACCCAATGACGTAGTTCTACTTTGTCCTATAGGGCACTGTGTGTTGGAATTGACTCCATGGCAGTGAGTTTTGGTTTTTGACTTCAATTTTAATAACTAAGTATATCTTGATAATACGGGATTACTAAATTCTTTTTCTTGGAAGACATTCAAATTGAATGCCACTGTCAGCTCTTTTTACTCTATTTAAGCCCAAGGAGCGAGGGAAAAAGAAAAAAATAAAATAAATAAAACACTAAGAGTTGGAAATCACAGAAAAATTGGAATTGGGTTCAGAATCTCAGGCCCTCTGGACTGGTGCATCTTTCTCTTCTCTCTGACCATCCAGCAAGGGACGACTATGCTCCAAAGTTAAGCTACATGGAGCTCAGTTTACTTATGAGGCCAAAAGAGGATAATTCCATAAGAAACTGGAACTCTTAAAGACCCAGCTCCAGCCTAACAAAAATTATTAAGATGTTCAAGGGCAGAAGGAGTTCATTTAAAGGAATGCATCTTATTAAAGATCCCCCTTTCCTCTGCCCCATACAGGCCAACCAATGAAAACACATTCTTGAGAAATTCCACCTCACCAAACTACCTCCTTTGACTAAGCCAAATCCCTCTTCACTCTCTCCCTCCACCTTGCAAAAGATCAGCTTGAATTTTCCAGTACGCCATCACTCCGAGTCTTTTTTCTCATAGAAAAAATTTAAAAAAAAAAAATTATTTTTGCCCTGAAGCCATTGGCATTTCTCTCCAGTGAGTCACACTGTGGGACCATTTCAAAATGACCTCCTCAAAGAACGATTCTCTTCCCTGGGGAGATGGGACATTGGGACATGACTGCCTTTCCCTACATGTTGCTACATAGCGTGTGGCCTGTAATAAACACCATTTCACACGCCACCAAGGCCACTTGACAGGGTGGACTTGTCGGCAGGCAGCCTTCCCACATTTCCAATTCTCTGGAGATGAGATGGAAGAATGAAAACATGGTTGTTAGAGGTCGATTCAAGTCAGTTTAATATGGCAGCCAGTACTTCTCTACTCCCTCCGTTACAGAAGTTTAGGGCTGTTGTTTGATAATTCACATTTTGGAACAAAATAATTGAACTGTCTAGAGGTGGGAGGATAAAGACAAGAAGAGAGAAGGCAAAAGCAGGGGATGCTTAAAGCGTCACCATTCTCCCCACACATATGCGTAGTTATGCTTCAGGCCTTTGAGCACTGTGTTACAAGGTCTCCAGCCTCCTCCCCTCTCCTGAGTTTGGAAAGCTCCTTCTCCCCTGGGCGTTGTTGTTTGCTGCTGTTGAGTTGGTCTAGGCTCAGGACAAACCATGTACAATAGAACAAAACATTGCTCAGTCCTGCACAATGGGTTGAGGATCAGACCACTGTGATCTGTAGGGTTTTCACTGGCTGATTTTCAAAAGTAGATCACCAGGCCTTTTCTTCTAGTCATAATCTGCTTAGTGTGGAAGCTCTTATGAAATTGTTCAGCATCATAACAACACGTAAGCCTCCACTGACAGGCAGAGTGGTGTTTACACATGAGGCACTTTGTCTGGGAATCAAACCCAGGTCTCCTGTATGGAAGGCAAGAATTCTACCACTGCCCTTCACCCCTGAGCGTGTTGTGTGCTGTCGAGTCGGACCCGACTCATAGTAACCCCTCCTTGGGTTTCCAAGGCAGTATCACTACAGAAGTAGATTGCCCCATCTTTCTTCCGAGGAGTGGCTGGTGGGTTTGAACTGCCAGCCTTCTGGTTAGCAGTCAAGTGCCTTAGCCGCTATGCTACCAGAGCTCCCTAGCGTAGTCACTTTCTATTCTTTGTTCTCAGGGCACTTACTCACTGCTGTCAAGTCAGATCTGACTCAAAGCAGCCCCTCCTTGGGTTTCCAAGATGTATCTCTACAGAAGTAGATTGCCTAATCTTGAGAAGGGGCTGTTGGGTTGAACCACAAGCCTTCTGGCTAGCAGTCAAATGCCTTAGGCACTACTCCACCAGAGGTCCCCTCAGGGCACTTAGTCTTCCTCAACTAAAGCACTAAGCACAGTTGGATTACATTTACATATGCAGTGGTCACCCATCTTCCCTTTCTCTCCCCTCTCCCTTTATTTGGGAGCTCTGGTGGCATAGAGCCTAAGGCATGTGACTGCTAACCAGGGGGCTGAAGGTTCAAACCCAC